ATGCTCGACCCTCGAGCCTCGGATGTCGAACCCGAGATCTTCGAGCCCAAGCTTGGCGATCCTCGGATCTAGGGTCCAACGCGCTCGAGGATGCCCAAGACCAAGATCTCGCATCCTCGATCCGAGGATCCGAGGGACGTCGATGGCGGCCTGGGCCTGACGACGGTGACGGTGACGATCGAGGATCGCCGACGCTCGGTCCTCGAGCCTCGGATCGCGAACCCGAGATCGTCGAGTCCAAGCTTGGCGGTCCTCTGATCTAGGATCCAAGGTGCTCGGAGATGTCCGGATTCAAGATCTCGGATCCTCGATCCGAGGATGGAGGATCGAGCCCGCTTGATTCCCCCATGCTTGATCGAGGATCACTCGGCGAGAGGGGGGGGGCAGTGCCCCGCAGCTTGGAACGCCACTCGCGCGTGCTCGAACGCTCTCTTGGAGCTTGAAAAGCAGACGGGGCTCGAGCGCGCGCCTCGAAACGGCGCCCTCGTAGCGAAAAAACATGGGAGCGCTTGGCTCGGGGCGCTCGCGCGCCAAGCTCTCAGGCGCCTGCGAGCATGAACGAGGCGGCTTTGTCTCGAACTCCTGCTGCTCGACGGTTTTCGAGTAGTCCAGCTCGGCGCGCTTGTCCTGGTAGCTCCGCCCCTGAAGCTCGCAATCCGCGTCGGCTGCCCTCTTGGCGGCCCGGCACCACTCGACGATCGCTCGCGCGGTGGCCTTGGCGGCCCCGCCGCTGGTCGAGACCGCGCCGCGCTCGAGGCACCACTTGATGCGCCGATTGACCTTGCTCGGAATCAACTCGAAGAGCGGCTCGGCATTGCCGGAGGGCCGCTCGCCCCACTGCTCGACGGACTCGAACTTCGCGTTGATCGGCAGCACTAGGTCGTGGAGGTGGAGGAGCTCGGCGGGGATGTCTGGGAGGGCCTTGCCGACGCGCTCGGCGTAGGAGCCGCGAGTGAGTGAGCTCTCGGCGCCCTCGGCACCGAGCTCGATGTCCTTCCTCTTGGCAAGCTCCGGCATCTTGGCCTTGAAGCTCGGCATGAGCCAGAAGAGGTCCTCGGGCGGCTCTCCACGGTTCTCGAGGATGTCGCAGACGCGCTCGTCACTCTCGCAGTAGATCTTCAGCTCGATACCCCTCTTGTCCATGCCGTTGAAGACGCGGCCGCGCTCGATGCTCTTGAATGACCCGCCGTTGCAGACCGTCTTGAGGGCGGCTTGATGGACGCTGCTTGGCCACGAGGCGCTCTCGGCTTTGAAAAAGCAGGCCGTCATCGTCGCTGCATTCGTGCCTTGCGCGCTCGGTTGGCACTGGCGCATCTCGGCGATCGCGATCTCGTCCGCGACGAAGCACAGCTCGTCGAGGATCTTCCCGTTATGCTTGGCCATTCACTCCAGAATTTCGTTCGAGCGCGGGCTCGGGGTCACGACGTTCCTGAGGGCCTCGACGGGGGGGCTCGCAGCCGCGGCGCGCTCGGCGGGCTGGGACATCGCTGAGGCTCGCGACGCACGCAACGATGTGGGGGGGATTGGCATTGGGGGGGACATCGACTTGGAATCGGCGACACATCGCCGACGCATCGGCAATGCGCGCCCGATCGTGGATCCGCATGTTCCTGGGCAGGTTCGGCATGCCTATCCCCCCCTATCGCTGCCCCCTGGGGCGAAGAAACCCGGTGCCTCGAAGAGGCTCGAAAGCTTGGAGTCCTGGAGACTCGGGGAAGCTCGGCCCTGGGCAGTTGCGGGGGCAAACGAGGAGGAGGAGGAGGAGGAGGAGGAGGAGGAGGAGGGGGAGGAGGAAGGGCCACGAAGCGTGTGAGTGGTGCGCTGCAAAAAGTAGTTAACTCCCATGCTCTGCTTGCTCGAAAAACGCATGTACAATCAAAATCCAATCGGTCCCCATGGCCCTGCCATACGTTCCTGACTCGGGAACGGCTGAGAAAATGAATCCCATGGCCCTGCCGCACGTTCGTAGCTTGGGCAAACTGAAGTGGTGAGAACCCCATAGCCCTGCCACACGCTCGTTATTGCGGACGCTGGTGTGGTGAGACCACCATGGCCATGCTCGGCGTTTTTGATGCTGTTTCTACTCAACATGATGTGATAGCAACTTCGATTCGTAATTTCCCCCGTGGATTATAAAGTTCGGAATCCGCGCCTATCTCCACAATTAGGTCCTGTTGGACGGGGATAATACAAATACAGGGTGTTAAAGGGGGGTACTTTATTATCGCCCGCACTTGGTTACACGACGCACAAGTATTGAGACCTCCGCGTCCCAATCAGCTTTGAAAGGATGCCATGACACACACCAACCATTGCAAACGCACACACCAAGAGTGCCCGACAATCAGAGGGAGAGGAAGGAAAAAAGAGGGTACCGGAAACACGCCGGAGCACAGATTGTGCACCGCTGATTTCGATTCCGCAACGGGAGAAACGACTTAGTACGCAACCGTCCAAGACCAAACCTAATCAAAGGGATCGTTGGATTTTGCAAGCTCGGCAAAGTAAGTGTGATAATGCAGAGACACATAGAGAGATAGACCGAGGGGGAGAAAGAGAGAGAGAGAGAAAGGGACACGGAGCAGAGGGGAGAAGACGGCAAATCTATATAGTATCCCTGCAGCGCCTCAATCCGATCGGCGGCAGCATGCAGCCAGCTGTGGGTCAGGCGATCACGCTGAGGCCATCAGATAAGAGTCAACCAACAGATGCATCGCCTGCCGAGCATAGCGCGGCCCTTGAACATGTTGCACTTGGATCGGCAATTTAGACCCTGACAACCCTGGTCAACGGGTCAGAAGTATCCCTGTGCAGCGCCTTAAATTCTGAGATGATAGACGACAGTGCGCTCAGGTGGCTCGACGTGCAGATGCGCCCTGGGTCCGGGAAGAAAGAGAACTAGGCGGAAAGTACGAATAACTGTGTTACGACATTGGCGATGTAGGGATACCAGATCAGACTGCAGTAATACAACGACTTGGTCGAGTCGTGGTGGTCGAAAATCTCGTATTGACACTGGTCGGCTGCGCGCCGGTTCGCGAGTCCGTTCGCGGGTGTGGCTTCAGATGGCTGGCGGAGCTCATCTTCAGAGGGATGGGGGGACTCCTCGTCAGAGGATATCCAAGTAGAAGGGTAAGCACCCGAACTTCAGAATTGAAACGGCCTGAGACTCGTGACTTGAGCCTATGTGGGCCAACCTTGGGCCATGGGCGGTCCAAACATTGCTTGTGCGCTATCGAAAATTGAAACTGTGCGCGCGCGGCTGCTTGCCTTAAGTTGGGCCCGTCCCCCTACAGGCCGATTTTGGACGAACCATTCAAAATATGGAAAAAAAATCTTCAAACATTGACAAAAAATCGTCCCCGGGTTGTTTTGACTGTTTGGGATATCCCTCCTGTAGAGGGACAGGCCCGACATAATGCTTGCCCTGAGGGCTCAGCGGAACTTGATCAACCCCTCTCCTCGCGCTCTCTGCCACCATCGCATCTGAGACAAGCAACACATCGGCTCGACCTGCATGCGGCTCTCACCCGGGACGGCCTGACGGCAATAAAACATGGAGCCCACATGCATCATCACCCAAAAAAAGAAATGGTGAGGCCGATCTCCGACCACTCACCCGAGCACGCGTTCAAAATGAACTCGCTGCGCGGCCAGAAAGCTAGCACAAGAATGCTGAGCATGATCTGGAAATCGAGCTATATGTACCGCGTCAACGATAGATCGGGCCGCGACAAATCAGAATCGAACTAAGTCGGCATTGAATCGGAATTGGATCGGGAACCGTCTAATCGTCTGCATCGAGTCGAATGGAGGATATAACATATTCAAATTCGCCCGATCGAATCCGACCGAACGAATCCAAATACGACAGCTGCAAGAATCTCCAAGACCTGCTCAAAACGACCACAACAAAAAAACAAAAACAAAAGAACTGCACTCTAAAACAACTCTATAACAAATAAAACTCCAATTTGTGTTGTTCAAACAAACACTCAAAACGCCTAGATACTTCGCTTAGCAGAAAGAGTCTAACCTGGAACAACCCTGGGGAAACGCTAAAAATGGCGAACTCGAACAAGTATGGAAACTATGAAAAAAAGTATGAGCCCAGGTCTTGCTGTTGAGTTTTCGGGCAGTTTGTTAAGAGTTGAGGTGTTCGCAGGTTTTGGTTTAGAGATGTTTGGGAGTTGTTTTAGAGTTCGAGATTTCCACAGGTGTTGGCTTAGAGATGTGTGAAGGTTTTTAGAGTTTGAGATGTTCGCAGGTTTTGGCTTAGAGATGGTTTGACGTGTTTGAGAGTTTGAGATTTTCACCAGTTTTGGCTTAGAGATGTTGTACAGTTGTTGGGGAGGTTGAGTTTCCTGATGGAGATGTTCCGAAGATGTCGGCTGGTTTTCTCGATGAACCTCCTGTAGTATAATTGCCGAACCTAACACGAGACAGCCACATGCATCGTAAAGCCGAGTGTGCTCTCAAACAAGGCTCTGAAATGTCGACAACACTGAAACACCTTGGCCTTATGTTTCTGCTCCGCCCCAACATGTCTGGCCAAATACTGGCTCAGGAACGGCCAAAATGGCCCTCAAGACGGCCTGGCGGCTACGAAGAGCCCGAGTACGCCTCAAACCGGTCCCAGACCGCCCCAAGACGGCTGCAAGAGGGCTGCAAGACCAGTCCAGGCAACCACCAGGGGTCGCATCGGCGGGGGCCACCTTGCCTCCCCTCCCTTCCCAGAACTGTTGCCTACCCCTGGGCCTCATACCCTAACCAACAAGTCTTCAACCAAGCAGAGCGGACGGGGCCATGGGGAAGAGACCTCCCAAACTTGGCTGGCAGGCAGATTTGATTCCGGTGTCCTCTACCAGACAACAACACATTCAGAGAAGGTCTGGGTATGTGGAACTAGTCGTTATGAATGTACCACGAGTGGGTACGTGGCCGTTGCGCTGCATCTCCCTCCTCCGAGACCTCCTCCCTGGGGCGCGGCAGCGGATCTCCTGCGTGAGAAAAGTCACGTGGAGTTTGTCCTTCTTGATTGCCTCTGGGGTGAGTGGGAGGAAGGTCAGTCAGAAGTCCACGAGTCCTGCCCCTGTGGTGCAATCATATTATGGCCACAACGCAGAATGATTCGGACTTACACTACCTTGCATTACAATTGAGATCTGCCCCCTTGCCCTTGAAACGACTGAGTCGCGGGCCTCGTCTGCCACCCACGTGACTTGGCTCAAAATTCACACAATGTCTGTGGGAAACGCCTAGCCTCTCCTACCTGCTGCACACGCCCGAATGTGTGAAGGTAGCCTTTTTGTCCTAGCCTTAGTGCTTCTTGGTGCTAGCCTCTGATTCGCAACGCCGGTCTATCCTCCAAATACGGTGTCCTGACTAGTGGCAGGCGGAATCCAAACAAGTTGTCCTGACTAGTGGATGGGCCTCTGCACGGACAATCGAAACATGGTAAACGAACAACCAATATTGTGCACCAGACAGGCGCAAAGCATGCCCCGATGATGTCAGCATTTTACTCTTCGCCGCCCCCTCTGGATCACGAGGCGCCCGAATGTGGAGCCCAATGACAAGCGCGCGGTCCCTGAATCATCTAGCAGGACATACCGTTGAACTGTATGATCACCCCTCTTCGACAGTCCTGATTACACGTCGGTCGGACGAAGTAGGTAAGCACATGAAGCAGGAAGGCGGATTAAGTAGATTGGGTCCAGGCCCTCCCAGAGAATAACAGAACGCAGCAAAACCATGTCGGTTCTGGAAGAAGGAAAGCGCTTGACGTAGATTGGGATTTGGAAAGCCAGAAATGCCTACTTGCAACGACCAACGGGTACGCACTAACATGATGCAAGGCTAGTCCTTCTCAAAACGGAACTCCCGCCAGAATCCAAGGCCCTGCAAACGGGGCGCTAGTAGACGGGCTGGTAGCTAAGGGTGCGTTACCAATGGCGTTATCAAAAAACTGATTTGCCGCGAACAAACAAGTGCGAGGTAACCCCCCCGCCCAGAGTTATGATCATGTATCCACGCTTTTGTCGTCCCGATGTATCACGCACTATTGCGAGGTAAGTGCCCTGTCACCCCGTTCTCGCTTGACGAGGCCCCTGAGCTACCGCCCCGTCTACCAACGCCCCGTCTGCAGGGGCTTGGTGCATGACAGGCCCACGCGGCGCAGGGTGCCGGTCCTTCGAGGAGCGCTTCCTGCAGCGAAGCGGGGGGGCCCGTGGGGGCCGGCGAGGAGGAGATCCGGGACGGACGAGCGTCTTGCATCCTGGGCTTACTCTGGCCTGATCTGCCCCCCCTCTCCTGCTCTTCATCCACATCCTCTTCCTCCCCCCCTCCCCCTCCCCTCCCCCCACCTCCACCTGCTTCTCCTGCTCCTATTCCGCCTCCTGCTTCTCCTCCTCCTCCTCCTCCCCCTCCTCCTCCTGGTTCTCTCTCCTCCACCCCCTCCTCCAGCTCCTCCACCTCCTCCTCTTCGTCCTTCTCCTTCCTCCTCGTCCTCGTCGTCCTCGTCGTCCTCGTCGTCCTACTCGTCCTCGTCCTCCTCCTCCCCCTCCTCATACATCTCCTCCTCAAGCTCCTCCTCTTTCACCTCATCCTCCGCCGCCTCCTCCTCGCCCATCATCAGCACTATCAGCATCAACAACAATAATAATAACTACAGCAGCAACAACAACAAGGACAACAACCACAACAACAACAGCAGCAGCGACAACAAAAGTCATTTTAAGACTGTTCGTCCTTATCTGCTCGAGTGTCCAATAACACGTATTTCCCAAACCCTCGATACCCGCCCTCTTCGTCTTCGATCGAACCCCTTCTGGGGGGTATACTTTTCTTCCCTGCAGGCTGGACCCCAGCAAGCGGCGGGGCTGCCGCGGACCGTCGGCCTGGCCAGCGGCAGCGCTGATCGGCGGGGCGGCCGCGGACCGTCGACCCGACCCCAAGAGGGACGGACAGGGGACCGACCACGACGACGACGACGACGACGACGTCGACGACGACGGCGACGACGACGACGACGGCGACGACGAGCGAAAGCGAGAGCCAGAGAGAACGTCAGCATAGCAACAAGGACACGAAGTAGGCCACGAAGGGCGACAGCGGGGACACGAAGGGAATGCCACGAAGAGCGCGAACGAGCGGGGGCCACGAAAGGCAGATAATGCGGGGCCACGGAAGGCAACGATGGGGCCACTGAGGGTAGCAACTGGGCCACTTAGGACAGAGAGGGGGCCACAAACGGCGACAGCGGGGCCACGAAGGGCATGCACATGGGGCCACAACGGGCGCGAACGAGCGGGGGCCACGAAGGGCATACGTATACTTGGCCGCGGAGGGCAAGGACGGGGCCACTGAGGGCAGCAACGGGGCCACGAAGGGCAGCGAAGGGGCCACGAAGGGCGACAGCGGGGCCACGAAGGGCTGCGACGGGGCCACGAAGGGCAGCGAGGGGGTCACGAAGGGCTGCAACGGGGCCACGAAACAAAGCGAGGGGGCCACGAACGGCTGCAACGGGGCCACGAAGGCAGCGAGGGGGCCACGAAGGGCAACGGGGCCACGAACAAAGCGAGGGGGCCACGAAGGGCTGCAACGGGGCCACGAAACAAAGCGAGGGGGCCACGAAGGGCTGCAACGGGGCCACGAAGGGCAGCGAGATCCCGATTCCTAAGTAATCTGTGAAGGGGCCTGGGAGCGGCCTGGGAGCGCCTGGGAGCGCTTGGGAGCGCCTGGGAGCGCCTGGGAGCGCCTGGGAGCGCCTGGGGAACGCTTGGGAGCGCCTGGGAGCGCTTGGGAGCGCCTGGGACCACTTGGGAGCGCCTGGGAGCGTTTGGGAATCCTTGGGAGCGCTTGGGAGCGCCTGGGAGCGCCTGAGAGCGCTTCTGGGGGCGCCTGGGGGCGCTTCTGGAGCGCTTCTGAAGCGCCTAGGAGCCCTTCTGGAGCGCCGGGGAACCCCTGGGAGCGCTTAGGAGCGCCTGGGAGCGCTTGGGAGCGCTTCTGGAACGCTTAGGACCCCTTCTGGAGCGCCTGGGAGCGCCTGGGAACGCCTGGGAGCGCTTCTGGAGCGCCTGGGAGCGCCTGGGAGCGCTTGGGAACGCTTGGGAGCGCTCGGGAGCGCCTGGGAGCGCATGGAAGCGCTTCTGGAGCGCCTGGGAGCGCATGCAGCGCCAGGGGGAGTCCTGGGCGTGAGCGCGACTCCTGGGTGCCTGGGTGTCGGGAGCGCGGCGCTTGAGTGAATTGCCTGGAATTCACATGCAAGGGCGCTATGCTTCAGTAAATTGCAAGCAGGTCTCCAGCGAGAGCGCGACTCCAGAGCGCCGGGAGAGCGATCCTTGAATAAATTGTGAGGAAGTCCCAAGCGAGAGCGCGATTCCTGAATAAAATGCGAGGAAGTCTCGGGCGGGAGCGGGGGTCCTGGCTAAATTGTGGGGAAGTCTCAGGCGGGAGCCGTTGTTGTTGTAACCCAGGGGCCAAGGGGGGTGCGAGCATCGAGGGGCACACTTTGATTCAGAAAAAACAGTCTGCACCGGTGGGGGGGATCAACCATAATTATTCTTCAGAAATGAGAGCTCAACAACAGCAGCAGCGGCAGCAGCAACAACAACCACAACCAGAACAACAATAACCACAGCCACAGCAACAATAACAACAATAATAACAGCAACAACAACAACATAAATAAATACATAAAAACTTTAATACATAATAACAACCACAACAACAGCAGCAGCAGCAACAACAACAACATCGACCCAAACGACAACAAAGACCACAACAACAACAAACACAACAACAACAACAATCATTTAAGACTGGGGACACTCCGTTCTCACCAGTGCCAGGGTTTTCATAGGGGGCCGGTTCAAGCTCTACCAAGTTTCCAAACGACTCTTCGCCACCACCCACGCCCAGCTTCCCGCCCTATGACGTTCGGACACTTCACTTCGTGGCCTGCGGACGACCTTGGCTACTACACTGGCGCATGGGCACAGTGACTCGTTGTGGTAACATTTTGTGGAAGCTAGCTTAGTATACGACTTGTCCCCCTGTTCCAACACTGGACACCTGTACCGTTCTCCGACGTTTTTCCGTTTCTGTACCACACAAGCGAAGACACTTATTTTGAGTGGTACCACGTGCGTGGCGCCAGCATGCCACAGTTCTTGTTTCCGTTGTTGTGAGACGATACGTACCATTGCCTCAAAACCATACCGCTGACAGCGACGGGAGGATCGCTCTCCGAGAGAAGCTGCGAGAGGACCTCCGCGGCGGCCTCGTCGGCGAAGCTCTCCCGATACTGATTGAGTCGAAGACGCTGGCCTATACATTCCTCCACAGCTTGGGCAGTATTGAATGCTCCCTTGGCGCCCCACTCAGTGCTGAGCCACTTCTGGCATACCCTGGCGTCAGCAGATACAGATAAATGTCCCAGGAGCCACTGCTTCAAGACGGCCCCGTCAGTAGTCCCCTCGGGCATGTCTGTGCGAATACGTTCTCCATACCAGGTCTCCAAATGGCCAGCGTTCTGCACTATGACAAGCGTCTCTTTGGAAGAATACTGCAGTAGCCACGCCGTTGCGACCGGATTTGACACATACAGTGGTGGATCCAACCGTCGGAGCGCCCCACATAATTTGAAAGCTGTATTATACTCGATGCCCAGATGGCGGATGGCAGAGCCGTGCTGCTCCTCCAGCTCCTTGGCGCTAGAAATACTGACCTTGCCAGGCACAACCCGATACTTGACCCACCAAACCTTGCACGCCTGGTGACTGACCTGGATACCCTTTGCAACGAGCGCCTGATGCAAATAAAACGGGTTGCCGCAGTCGGCCAAGGGAGGCCGCGACAGCTCTGGGCCATACTGCTCGTCAAAGGCCTTCGCCGACAAAGCCATGACCCATCCAAGAACACAGGCGATACCTTGATCCGAGATGGCTACGGATGTGACAGTGATCAGTGATTTTGTTCGATGACGTGGTGACACACTGACTTGTTGTGGTACCATGCCGACAACGACGACGCGACGACG